AATATTAATAGGGTATTAAAAGTATCAACAAAAGACAGAACACGAAACAATGGAAATTGAATAGAAGTGTTTGTAGAAAGCCTATTGGTCCATATTTCTTGATGCTTCTATATTGGAGCGGAGTCTTGAGGTGGGTAGAATATAGTTGTGCAATAATTGGCTGTTGATTGCTGGTGTTGACTTCTTGATGTGTAGTGCCTCGCAAACGTCAAGCCGCCTGCTATCGCTGTATCTATCGATGATTTCTGTGTTGTTTACTAGGATTTCTCTGGCGATGGTTTGGTTATGGGAAGATATTATATGAAATCATCGATAGATACAGCGATAGCAGGCGGCTTGACGTTTGCGAGGCACTACACATCAAGAAGTCAACACCAGCAATCAACAGCCAATTATTGCACAACTATATTCTACCCACCTCAAGACTCCGCTCCAATATAGAAGCATCAAGAAATATGGACCAATAGGCTTTCTACAAACACTTCTATTCAATTTCCATTGTTTCGTGTTCTGTCTTTTGTTGATACTTTTAATACCCTATTAATATTCTCTAATGCCACATCATCCTTCCCACCTCACTCAAATGTAATGCCACATCACCCTTCCCACCTCACTCAAATGTAGATATAAAATCAGGGAAACGCAAGTTCTAATCAGTTGTGTATTTGTGAAGTCTTTGAAAATGTAATAAGTTTTACGAAACGCGCCCGTGTCGCGTCAGACTAGAAATAAAAATGAATTTTGGAGAAGTGATTTTTGATTTACCTCCAACAGTGAAGCATAATGTACGAAAGATTGAGAAAATTCGTGTTAGAATTATTAATCTTACTTTTTCGGTCATATTTAATAAAATATATATATATATATATATATATATATATATATATATATATATATATATATATATATTTATTTTCAGGGAATCGCAGAAAATTATTAAATACAGAGGTCTAGCACACGGCTACAGCTTTGTTCCGATCGGCTCGGAGACCCTCGGTTCGTGGGGAAAATGTGCATTGAAGTTCCTGAAGGAATTGGGGGACAAATTGATCAGCGCTACAAAAGACCAGAGAGCAAAAAGTTTCTTGTTCCAGCGCCTCAGTGTTGCGATTCAGAGGGGAAATGCCTGTTGCGTCTTGGGCACTAGTCCAACTTCAGAGGAATTCGAAGAAGTGTTTGACTTGCAACAATGATCGAACCCGTCTGTGACATTCATCAATGTTTCCCATTGTTGTGTTTTTCAAGAGATCCATAACCTTTAAGCACCAAAAAATATATATATATATATATATATATATATATATATATATATATATATATATATATGACACTGAATTGATGCGAGATAATCAATGTCTGGAAAAATGCCTTAAAACCAATATATGAAAGTGGACAGTTAAGCTTCTTATGTAATAAAAGTAACATGGCATCAATTGCAGATTTTGTAATAAATAATCCTACTAAATCCTTAATTTTAATTATTTAACTACAACCATGAAAAAAAAAACGGAAATTAGAAATGGAATATATAGTATATCTAGATTAAAAAGAAAAAAAAATTTCGGCAAAATATCACATAAAAGGTTATGCCAATTAAAGTTGAATAGGATTAAAAAGATTTATACTCCAGGAATTAGGACCCGGGCAGTTACAGAGAGCTACGATTCACATTAAAATAATAAAGCCTCAAAATTACTCCGTATATATCAACTCGGGTCCATGTAGGATAGGTGCTGTGACCCCTTGGGGCTCGCGAGTGGTTGACCACCCTAGAGGCGCAGGTTCGAATCTCTTGAGGGAGCAGTAGAGTATCGTATATAATATTTACAAAGTGGTGGGCCTCACAACTAGGATCTTTGGACCAAGATGTTTGTGGGTTACAATTCCCTCACTCCTCTCTCATATTCTTTCCAAGTATCACATTATCATACTGGCACTTTCTCCTCCTGAAATTTCCATGCCTTTCATCATTTCAGTGTAAACTCAGTTATGCTTAGTCTGTCTCTCTCTCTCTCTCTAACATGATTTTAAATGGCACATAGCACAGGCTGTGATACTCAAGGGAACTTCAATAGCTTCACGCTGAGGTCGAGGGAGCCCCCAAACACTTAGAAAGTGTAGTACAGGTCGAGAATGCTGTCTCCATCGTCAGAATGGTGCTCTGGGGAGGACCAGGAATGTGGAGAGTGGGTCAGAGAGGGAATGGGCAAGCGAATAAGAATGACGAGGGGGAAAGTGAAGGGAGTGTGGAAAGGAATATAGCAGTGAGGATGGGGGAAGGTGATGAACGGAGGTACGAGAGAAACGTAATGGGGGGATGGAGACAGGAGGAAGGGTAAAATAGGGAGAGCAAGAGAGGAGGTCAGTGGTATGCTAACCTTTATTGGTTTTAGCGTTGGTTGATGGACCAACATTCAATTACCGTTGTTTTATGTGTTGAGGTAACGTCAAACGGGAGAGTGGCGTTACTAATGTGTTTATTTTCTCTGTGACTCAGTCGAGGGGAGGTAGAGTTGGCGGTGAGGGAGGTAGAGTTGGCGGTGAGGGAGGTAGAGTTGGCGGTGAGGGAGGTAGAGTTGGCGGTGAGGGAGGTAGAGTTGGCGGTGAGGGAGGTAGAGTTGGCGGTGAGGGAGGTAGAGTTGGCGGTGAGGGAGGTAGAGTTGGCGGTGAGGGAGGTAGAGTTGGCGGTGAAGGTTAAATTTAAATTTTGTATGCTACATGCTCGATGTTATTATATGGAAATAAATTAGAATTTCTCATTTACCTCTAACATAAATTTGATTTAATGACATTTACTGTTGTTGTATTGTTATTTAATCATGTTATTTGTCATCATTTATTGCAATATAAATACATATTACTTATTACAATTTAATTCATACATATAATTGCATTCAAGTTAGAGTTTCATAGTTTAAATAGGCCGCGAAATTGTAAACCCAATTTTCCTGACAGCACCATGGAAACCTCTTTTTTACCTGCTCAATCAAGGGGGGATATTAAACCTTTTCAGGTGCTCAGGTGAGGCGCGGGGTCAAAAATGATTAGCAACCACTGGGCTAGAGCGAGAGAGCTGGAGGTGGAATAAGAGGGGACGATTAAGGGGGTATTGATGATAAGAGGAGAGCAACTAATGATGGGAGGGGAACTAATGATGGGTTGAGAGTGGTTTTATAGGGGGTGAAAAGGGGGAGCAGAGTTTTGACGGTGAGGGGAAGAGTTCTGGGTGTGGAGCTGGAGGAAGGTTGTATTGAGGAAGTGAGAATAGCGATGTAGTGCTGAGAGCGAGAAGTGCAGATAAGGAAGGAGGAGGTGCTGTTAGTGGGATAGGTAGGAAGAGGAAGAACAGGTAGGAAGATATTATTTTTTTTTAACAGGGCAGGAGTTGCTGAGCCAATAAGCTATTTATTTTTATTTAGAATTTTTTTTTCCTACTTTTATTTAGAAATATTTTTTTATATTATTTTTTATATTATATAAATATATTATATATATTTATATTGTAATATATTTTATATTATAAATTTATTTTATTTTGAAATACCACCATCTGACTGCGAATCTTTGGCAAAATCATACATTAAATAGGAATAAATAGGTATAGTTATCATTCTATGATGCTCTTGTATTTATCATATAAATCAGAATAGGTATCATACATTTCCTTTATTCATTTCTGCACGTGGCACATATGTGTAGCTATGTTTCCTAATGGACGTGAAGGAGTGAATGACATGGTGATGATAAGAGACAGAGAGAATGACGAAATATGATGTTGTGATGATTTTGACAGCATATGAGATAATTAAGATATGATGATAAGAATTGCACCGAGTGATTGGCACTCAATTTATCAGTGTTGGCTAAGTGACCAAACGGCAGTGGCCACACTTTCTTAACCACATCTACTCTAACCACATCTACTCTATCTACATACACAATAAAAGTGACCCACACCTGCAGCAGCTCCAGCTTATACTATCTCTACCTTGAGTGACGACATATATTTTGATTTCATCTACTAAAACCACACCTGAAATGAACACGCTACAATGACCATTTTGGTCAAATTCATCATTGTAGTGCACTCTGCACACAGTGTACAACAATGTATGCAAATTACAATTATAGATTTAAATTAAAACTATGGATGTATATTACAATTATAAATTTACAATCAAATCAAAGGCATGAGGTATATGAAAAATATAATTGTAAGGATAAGGTAATTACGAGGAAAAAGAAACAAGTCACCACGACTGTATAGCACTTGGAAGGGATATGAGGATAGGGACTTAGGATAAGACAGAGGAAAGGAATGGTGCCCTACCACTTGGACAGCCGGGAATTGAACGCCGACCTGCTAGAAGCAAGGCTGTCGCTCTACCACCATCACCCCAGTCGCAAGACAAGACTATGCTTGTAATCTAAAAATTTATGAAAACCTTATCAACTTATAAAACATATTCTGGCTTCAAGATAAATAGATTTAGATTGAGAAAAGATTCAGGTAAAACGTTGGTGATATCAGGTTCTCTGATATCACTCATGATACTGAGTGATATCAGAGAAGCAAAGTGAATGGAAAGTTGGTTGTATAAGCACATGAGTGGATAAAACTGTTTGACTTCCTCAAAATCTGAAATTTATTTGTACTTAAAATACAGAGAAAGCGCTACTGTGTTAAGTCTGTTACAGTGACTGCAATACAGTGACAACGTGACAGTGACATCAGTGCAGTAAGTACACTACGGTGAACCATTACAGTGACAACGTTACAATAAAAGCATTACAGTTTCAACCCTCCATGAACCAACACAACACAGTAGAAACCTCCATGAACCAACACAACACAGTAGCAACCCTCCATGAACCAACAACACACAGTAGAAACCCTCCATGAATCAAGAACACAGTAGCAAGCCTCCATGAACCAACACCCATAATCACCTCAGACTTCAGGTCCTCCTCCAGTCTACAGGTCCTCCTCAACATTTCAGTGTCGGTGAACATGAGTGAGAGGTCAAGCATCATCTCAGACGGGATCCCGAGCGAGCTGCCGCCTCCCTACTGCGCCCAGCACTCTACGCTAGTGGCAGTCCGCACCACGCCCGCCTACGCCCCGACGTCCTCCCCACGCCCATCCTCTCCTACCTATCCCAGCACCCACGCCCCATACGTCATCAGTGGCGGGGATAGCGGCTACAACTCAGGGTAAGGTGGTTCATCCTATTCCTTGGATAATAAGTCATATATTGACTTATGGATCAATAAGTCAGTTTTTTTATATATCCAGCACAAACCGACAGGATGGTTCTTTTATATAGTATAATATTAATAATATAATAATTTCTCATGAGTTAAAGTTAGAATTATTGTGATTTTATGCATATTTGGAACTATGTAAGGTTGGGTAAGGTGTTTGGGGTGTGGTGATTTAGTGAGTGTTGAGAGAACATGTTAGTGTGTAAAGTAAGTGTGTGTGTGTGTGTGTGTGTGTGTGTGTGTGTGTGTGTGTGTGTGTGTGTGTGTGTGTGTGTGTGTTTGTGTGTGTGTTTCGAGTCATTGCTTCGAACATGGGGAAGTGGATTGTTCATTAATGACACTTTCGTAGATTTTAATGCAAACATTTTCAGCCCAAACTAAAGAAAACTACATTACCTTGTTGGATGCCATGACTCGAAATGTGAATCGTTCACTTGCAGGTCGTATTGTTAACACTTGCAAAGCCAAAAATACCTTTACCTGACGCTACTTGGACCTAATTTGCATACACCTATATAATCAGTATACATCAGTATTTGCACACACACCTATTATTAACATATATAAGTCAGTATGACATATCATGAGACGAGTTAAAATTTTTGCCTAAAATGTCAACCCATACTCTGGCTGTGCTCTATTGATCTGCATTATCTACGTTAATTGCAATTATATCCACAAGAATACTACAAAGGTTTATAAATTATTAACAAAATACATGTGAGTATAGCAACATATGTGTGCACATGTTCCTCTCGTCGCTGTAGTCTACATGATGCTTTATTAGTAATGTTTTTATTTCGTGTTGCAGGTCTCTCGCCACGTTCCCTCAGTCATTCATGTGTCCAGCGTCACCAGCTCGGCTCCCGCCCATCAGATTAACGCCCTCGCTGGCCCAGAGCTTCGCACCAGCCCTCACGCCCACCACCCGCCCCTGCAGCACCGCCCATATCATCCACACCCACCAGCAGGTCCCAGACGACCATCTCTACACCGCCACCAAGTTCTAGCTGTCGCGAGAGTCTTCCGCCGAGAGGGGAATTCAGAATCAAAGACTGTGTCTTAGTTCTTTTGTCTGTGTTTAGGGTGGCTTAGAGAGTATTGATCATGGGGGATTATCTTCACGTGATTCATGGTATTGTATGTTGTGGTGGTCGCGTGCCCCAGGGCAGTGTATGTTGTGGTGGTCGCGTGCCCCAGGGCAGTGTATGTTGTGGTGGTCGCGTGCCCCAGGGCAGTGTATGTTGTGGTGGTCGCGTGCCCCAGGGCAGTGTATGTTGTGGTGGTCGCGTGCCCCAGGGCAGTGTATGTTGTGGTGGTCGCGTGCCCCAGGGCAGTGTATGTTGTGGTGGTCGCGTGCCCCGGGGCAGTGTATGTTGTGGTGGTCGCGTGCCCCGGGGCAGTGTATGTTGTGGTGGTCGCGTGCCCCAGGGCATCGTATGATGTGGTATCAATTCATGATGATCTACTCCAGCACATCATTGAAATGAGTATCTACAACAATCATGTACAACAAGGTAGCGCTTGCCTGTGGTACTGAAGCCCATCAGAGTAAATGTATATACTATTTTCACACCGATCAGATGCACCGGAGAGGGAAACAAACAGTAAACATTTTAGAACACAAATTTGCAAATGGAAAAACAAAAAACCCCATTTTAAAAGTAGGATAAAAATAAATGGAAAAGTACAACTCTTGCAGAATATGTTATATATATTTTTTCCGTGCTGAAGATATGCAGAATAAGGAATATTAGCATAGTTAAAACATAGCAAATTTTGAAGCACTCAGAATGGTACTTGAGGCCCTTAACTTAAACTAAGTTAACAGTTTGGTCTTAGAGTGACTCAGCCTCCCATAGGAGGTCCGTCCGGCTTTAAACCTATTTAATTTGTATATATATATATATATATATATATATATATATATATATATATATATATATATATATATATATATATATATATATATATATATGTTTGTATGTATATCAATGTATATCAGACATTTCAGAATACCGTCTAAATCTTTGTTTGATGGTGAAATACAAAATCAACAATGCAGTTAGCTGGTATATAAATCTGATCTGCTAATTTTTCTTGCCCATTTCTTGGCTTCTTTTACTAAAATTGAGTTTACTACAGATACTTTTTTCGCAGATTGTAAAAAAAAGATTCAATTAAGATAAATAATTCCTGTTTATATAATTAATGTTGATGCAAATTTGATTTACATCAAATTTGATTTACAAATGTTAAGACAAGGAAATAACATATTAGGTAAATCACTAAAAGATGACTTAATTGTCCTAAATATTGATGATTGCAACAGCTGATTTTTGCTTTTGCAGTCAATGATATTTTTTGTTGACAATTTGCTGAAGAATCAGTGGGAGGGGGGGGGGGTGATCACACCTTGGACCTATAGTTGGAAATGTGTTTTTCTGTCATTTTGTTTTTTATCCATTTAGAAAAATAATGGTTGGATAACTGCCCATCAGTCTTTAAACCTATTTCATACCGAATAAAGCAGGATGAACTACGTCTTATCTCTAATGATCTCTCATGTATACAATTGGTCGTTATATTTCCTAATTCTAAACACAAAATTCTGAGATTCTCGAGTGAAATTACAGGAGAACTTGTGTATCGTATTTGTAGTTACTAGCATTGAAGGTCAGTTGAAACTGGGTATCGTAAACCCACGTTCAATAAGCTTAGGGTAAATCCTCTAATCAATTGTCTAAAATCGTTTTAGATTTTTGTCATTGTTTACTGCAAAAAAGTCATTATTTACTGCAAAAAAAGTCATCGTTTACTGCAAAAAACTCTTTGAACAACTTGCACGTTCACAAAATAAACACTATGGCTATTAAGTTAAAATGATTTGATATTTCTATAATAAGTTGTGACAATGATTCTTAGTTTCGAAGGTAGATTCATATTTGTTTTTTAAAGATATTTTTTTTTGCTTTTATTCAACTTTATATCTTTTAATGAACAGATAATTTCTATACCAGTTAATTGCATTATGTTCTTATGTTTTAGCACTGAAGAAGCAGATTGTAAAATAAAAGATGAAATATATATAGGTATATGATATATGTATATATATATATATGAGGGTACCACGTCTGGTTGCATTTATTGCGACCCTTGGCCTCGAAAAAGAGGAAATATAACATCCAGGGATGCCTTCTGGAGCACCCACAATATATATATATATATATATATATATATATATATATATATATATATATATATATATATATATATATATATATATATATATATAAAGTAGCTTAAACACTAGTACTTATTACATTGTCAATTAAAGTTATACAGTATATGTATAATTCTGGCCTATGTGACCCATAAACACTTTACAGCAGTAATGTAGTGTGCGAGTACCACTAACCAGAGAACCTCAAACTTGCACAAATGAGGTTTTATGATCGATTTAGATCTGGGTTAACTTTGATATCTGAATAAATGAGGTCGTGTGATCCCAGAATAGACTTGTGGAACCTCCCACGTGTTCTACAGCAGAGTTTCCTTGCAGTCAGTGGGAGGTTTGTGTTTGATACATGTAGTCTTACTCTACATATCTGTGGTCCTCATTACCTCCAGTATCTTTTTCTTGATCTGTGGTTTTCTTATATATCATAAAAGTTACCTCGTCTCTCTCTAGGCTGTCATTCTTGTTGTCATATATTTTTGATAGGTCCTGACGGCTGTTGGATAATGTGCTCCCGGTTACATTAGGCGCTACGAAATTTAATATGACGCTCAAGTAGTCAAAAAGGTTAAGACAAAGTTGCCATTATCATCTGAAACAAACTTCATGTAATAGGTGTCAGTCGTAATTTATACAACACACTGAAAAATGATAACCATGTTGATATGAGATAGTTATAACATGATTTATGATAACAGTAAGATGATATAACTACTTAAAATTGATATAAGATGGTAAATTATTATCTCAGGTTTCATAAGCATATGTTTCAGCCTAATGATTTTCAGGAGTAATTTGATTTATAATTAACAAAGTTTTCTTTAAGATTCATTTAACATCGGCGCCATCTATCAGCACAGAATCTGTTCGTACTATTACAGCCCATTTGGCTATTAGCCCTCAAAAACATGCATTTACCTCTTGGAAACATTCTTCGGAGTAGTTAGGCAGGGGCCTGACAGCTGAGTGAGTAGCGCTTCAGATTCGTAGTCCTGAGGTTGCGGGTTCGATCCCCGGTAGAGGCGGAAACAAATGGGGCAGTGTTTCATTCACCCAGATGCCCCTGTTACCTAGCAGTAAATAGGTACCTGCGAGTTAGACAGCTGCTACGGGTCCCGAAATCATCTCAAGATAACCCCAAGATAGTTTTCCCCTCTGCGTCTGCAGGGAAAAGGGCTACAGTGTCACTGAGAACTATCCCATCCACTTAAAACTTGCAGGGAAGGTTATCCTTGGTGGCCATCAGAGCTCTGCCTGGGACCTCCAACACTCGTATAACATGCTTGCTTCCATTTCTAACTCATGAAACCACTGATTGTACTCAGATAATCTCTCATAGGCCACTTGCACTTTTTCAAACACCAAAACCCTTTAGAAAGGAGAGAGAGAGAGAGAGAGAGAGAGAGAGAGAGAGAGAGAGAGAGAGAGAGAGAGAGAGAGAGAGAGAGAGAGAGAGAGAGAGAGAGAGAGAGAGAGACGAACCATAATCATGAGAGAGCATCGTTACCTCCCCTAATTTCTAAGTTAATAAGTTGACATTAAATCAATAAAGCTGTGGCTGAAGAAGAGGACTAACCAAGGTGTGGCTAGGGAAGAAGGAGGACTAACCAAGGTGTGGCTAGGGAAGGAGGAGGACTAGCCAAGGTGTGGCTAGGGAAGAAGGAGGACTAACCAAGGTGTGGCCAGGGAAGGAGGAGGACTAACCAAGGTGTGGCTAGGGAAGAAGGAGGACTAACCAAGGTGTGGCCAGGGAAGGAGGAGGACTAACCAAGGTGTGGCTAGGGAAGAAGGAGGACTAACCAAGGTGTGGCCAGGGAAGGAAGAGGACTAACCAAGGTGTGGCTAGGGAAGGAAGAGGACTAACCAAGGTGTGGCTAGGGAAGGAGGAGGACTAACCAAGGTGTGGCTAGGGAAGAAGGAGGACTAACCAAGGTGTGGCTAGGGAAGGAGGAGGACTAACCAAGGTGTGGCTAGGGAAGGAGGAGGACTAACCAAGGTGTGGCTAGGGAAGGAGGAGGACTAACCAAGGTGTGGCCAGGGAAGGAAGAGGACTAACCAAGGTGTGGCTAGGGAAGGAGGAGGACTAACCAAGGTGTGGCCAGGGAAGGAAGAGGACTAACCAAGGTGTGGCTAGGGAAGGAGGAAGACTAACCAAGGTGTGGCTAGGGAAGGAGGAGGACTAACCAAGGTGTGGTTGGGGGAGGGAAAGGAGGTGGAATTTTATGCTGCGAATATTGACTGGCTCAACGTGAGCCGATTATCGTAAATCTTTCTCTTTGTCCCTAATGTTTCCGGTCACCCACACGCGCACTTGAACACTTGCGTGCACTCAAACACTCTTCCGTGCACTCAAACACTCTTCCGTGCACTCAAACACTCTTCCGTGCACTAACTTCATTTCATATACACTCAACAATTTACTAATTTACTTACCAATTTTTAATATTCATTCACGATTTACTTTTTTTTACTCAAAATACACTTATTTAATCACCAATTTTCTAATTTACATATTTACTCACCAATTTTCTTATGAACTCACCATTTGGCTTATTTACACAACATTTTTCTCATTTTTTTCCACCAATTCAAGTAGTCACGAATATATTTACATTTTTGCTCAACAACTTACTTTTTCAGTATTCAGTTTGCTTATCTAAAGACTCTCTGATAGGGATACAACATCTGAAAGTTGTAATCAACACTTGCAAGTGCAACTTTGCAGCTGTTACTCGTTAAATAATAACTAAATACGTATAATAAAGGGAGTAATTTTCTTTAGTCAACCACGCAACTTGCTAAACTGAAGAGAGGTTTTTAGCGTAAGTTTCGGACATGTAAATTTGTGAGAGGGAATGAGAAGTTGGACATATAAATTGTGATGGGAGGAGATTATTTATAAGTTCTTTACTTAAGGGGAGAGATTACTGGCCTCAGGCCAGGGTCGGCGAGTAGAAGAAATCTTGAAACCCTCTCCAGGTATGCTCCAGGTATTTTGGTCTCACGTTCATTCTGAAGTTGTACTGATAAGGTAAATATATTATTTTGAAGTTAGATATTACGTTTATATTGACCAGGTTTTCAATGAATCAATGGTTTGCTGTGTACTGCCCAGGCTTTCACCGAGTCAGGGCATTGACTCTTGCATTGACCAGACTTGAACTAACTACTTCAGAAGCTATGTTGCTTAAACAAAACAAAATTTTGTATATAAATATTGCATATTTAACGTATATTTTTGTTCAGCTTGTAAATATTTCATGGCGCACTGTAAAAAAAATTATGGAGCAACAAATTAAGATCACACGGTCAATTGATAGAGAAACAGGCCAACAGCTTTGTACGAAAGTAAGAACAACAGACGAACAACTGAGTGTAACAAGATCACAAGATCAAATGGTAGAGTAACTGGACCACAGCTTTATGAGAGTGAAAGAACATTAGAAGAACAATGTAGTGTAACAAGACCACAAGATCAACTGAAACAAGCCATTTGGCCATTCAATAATAATATGGCCACAATTTTAAGTGAGAATTTAACTGAGAATTAAGATTATAAAGGAAGAACCGTCCATTAAATACCACAAGAGAGCATCATGTGAGGCTCGAACCCTTTTGCCTGCTATTGATGCCAGTATTTCATCACATAATTTCGTAGGTAAACTTTTTAAACTGTTTATCTCTGTCTGCAAGAATAGTTGATTCGCCCATTATTCAAAGCATCTTTTTATATTTGAATTGTTCTAGGTTATTTGTTATTTAATATCAATATTTATAGAAATTATTGACTATATAGAACATCGTTTATTTTGTAATTCTTTCATAGTCATCTTAATACAATAAAAAAAAGCATTTTTCTTTTATTCTTTGTGTTTAGCTCACCAGATTGAAGTTTCACTTTTCTCATAACTAAATTTTTTTGTCAACAACTAGTCCTGCATGACACAGAAGTCGGTAAATAGCTAAGCTTCAGGGTGAATAGAATAGAGCTTCAATTTATTTTTTCAATATCCGAGGGACAAGATTTCCTCAAAGCCAACTTAAGCACATTCTTTTGTCAGGAAAAAACCTTCACGTTCTGCTATGTGTATATCCTTGTCGATATCGTTCTCTTGACATAATCATTCTCTCTCTAATGGTACATATATATATTGGTGGTCAGTGTTTTTACTATGCTCAGTGCTTTTCACGACAGATGCAATTTATTTTTTTGGGTGACAACTCTGAGGAATTTCCATATATTAGTTTTTTCAACCAAATGGTTGACCATAGATTGTGGTCCATCAGTCAACCGTAGATTATGGTCTACTAGTTATCCATAGATCACAATCCACAGACTATGGTTGCCCGGTTAATTGTAGATTACAGTCTTCTGGTTATCCGTAGATTGCGGTCTACCGGTTACGCGACCTCCCTATCCCAGCTCCGGCTGATACTCAGTGTCAGAAGGACATTGGCTTTATTCCTTCACGCATTGGGCTATCCGTCAACTCGGTATCCGGATAAAACGGGGGATTTTATCCGGATAAGCGAGACTAGCTAACCACGTATCCCCTCTCATGATTAGGGAATAAGTGATTGACTCTTCACTCATCCGAGAATAATTAAAGGGCCCAAACTCAGGTATTTATTTGGTTATGTTGAAGGGGCTTGATGGAAATGAGACCCATTTTCCACTTTTAGTCATTTCCACTGAGATGACGACTTTGGAGAACACTGAAGCTATGTGCAGTGATAATATATTTATATATATTCTCTGTATATGAGAAATCGTAGCTTTCACATTCTTCAAAGCTGTAAAAGATTCATTTCATTTTGTATTTTGCGCTGGGTCAGTGTACACTTATGTTATTGAACAAGAATTCTTAACTCTAAGTATATTGATGGCTTCGTGAAATTTGCACATGTCAGCCAGTTTATACCATGCCATGAGTAAATATCATTTCTGGGTCGTTTGAGACGTTGAGCCTCCTCGCGTGCACTTTGTACAACTTATATCACTTGTTCTCCTTAATAAAGATATTACCACGTGTGCTGTAAATAGCTTTTTGCCAACAGTCATAGATTTGTACAACAAAGAGGTGCTCGTCCACATGCATTGTTAATATATATATATATACAACCCTTGGTGTATGCTCAAAATGTGTGCACTGTACGTGCACTGTACGTGTACTGCACGTGCACCGTCCGTGCTTGCATGTGTGTGTGTATGTTGTCTGTACGTTCCCTTTCTCCCGCACCGTGCCAGAGCCTGTGTAGGGGACGTGAGGGATGTCTCACTACTCCTGCAGGTGAGGTATGATGTCTCACTACTCCTGCAGGTGAGGTATGATGTCTCACTACTCCTGCAGGCGAGGGGTGTTCTTAGTGTACTGGAGGAGGTCCACTCGACTCACTCTCCACTGCCTGGTTCATCACACCCTTAGTGGAGTTTTGTATATCTAAATTTGTAATAAAAATGAAGTCAGGTCGTGTGTATTCTTTTCCAATAAGTTAAACATTAAACGAGTATCTTCCCATGCCATCCTATTAAAAATGGATGCAAAATTATAAAAATAACCAATATTATTATTTTTATTTGTACTATTATAAATATAATCAGTAATAAACTATTAACAACTTCACTAACAATGAAAATAACATTTATCAATAAAAATAATTGCAGATAAAATAATTTCATTGCCAATTAAAAATATAAAAATACAGTAAATAAGTAATAACAAAACTATTTAACTGATCCATAAAGCCAACTACAGTCTTGTTCACTACTAATAAATTAACCAAATGCCCAAAAAATATATAACTATTAATAATCGTATGAACAATAAATTGTTTGATATTGATTATATGTTTGGGTTGATGACAAATTGAACTGTCGACCTGGCCTTGTGCGACACTGTTGAGGGACTGTCGACCTGGCCTTGTGCGACACTATTGAGTGACTGTCGATCTGGCCTTGTGCGACACTATTGAGTGACTGTCGACCTGGGCTTGTGCGACACTATTGAGGGGCTGTCGACCTGGCCTTGTGCGACACTATTGAGGGGCTGTCGACCTGGCCTTGTGCGACACTATTGAGGGGCTGTCGACCTGGCCTTGTGCGACACTGTTGTTGGACTGTCGACCTGGCCTTGTGCGACACTGTTGTGGGACTGTCGACCTGGCCTTGTGCGACACTATTCAGTAACTGTCACGAAAGTATGTTCGACACCCACACGAAGTGAAAAGCTTTCTTTACGTAACATATTTTCATGTTTTAGAGTCACATATATAATAATCATTTAAGGGAAATACAAAAGAACTCAACATTTATATTTACTTAAAGTATGATTTAGAAACATGAATCATCCTTAAAGACCTATTCCCCCCCCCCTCCCCTCCTCACCCATCCAATGGGGAGGTGTCGAGACCAATTTGGTCACCCAGTGAGGGAGTCAACCAGGCTTTTATCCACTAACTTTATCAGTGAAGTTCTGAGGAACAAACTTTACTCGGTAGTTATTCTGCTGGGTGGTGGAGTGAGGGAGGGAGCCTGGGGGAGTGAGAGAAGGAGCCTGAGTGAGGGAGAGAGCTTGAGAAGTGAGGGAGAGAGCTTGAGGAGTGAGGGAGAGAGGCTGAGAGTGAGAGATAGAACATACAACAAAGTGAGAGGGTGGCGGGAGGAAGAGGGAGGGAGCACGAGTGACAGATGTAAGCTTGGAAGATTATGAAGCTGTAATATGTGGGATGGAGAGGTGGAGTGACGCTGGGTACAGTGGAGCCGAGATAGGGTGTCAGTGAGGCTAAGAGGGGTACAGTGGAACTGAGAGCTGGTACAAGTGGAGCTAAGACTTCTGGTGTTGACACTTGGACTGATCCATCGGTGTATACACAGTGCTCCAGATCTCAGGTTTATCTTCGTCATATTTCATTATGGGTTAAAAGAAAGACCTAAACCACTAAACTCACTTATTTTAAGAATATTGGTTTCAGTGGTAAATATGCAAAGCTATATTACATGGAGTTTATATGGTTCTTAGTTCATAATCGTGCCTTGGCTCTATTTTTTTATTAATATATTAAGTGCATCTGCCCTAGACTATATGAAGGGGAGTGCAGAGTGTCAAAAAGCTAGCTACGTTGTACTAAAAATCCCCATCACACAGGATGGTTAGTCATACAGAGGCATGTGATAGGCAGTTTGCACTGGCAGACTCCGGATGCATTTTGAGGATATCAACAACACAAGACTGAATAAGGCAGCAGTGGTAATACAAGTCCCCATCTCGCAGGATGGTTAGTCATACAGGGCCATATGTTTAGTAGCCTGCACTGGCTCTAATTTCCGTTTCCTCATGACAAACTCCACGGAAAGTATTTGCCACATTTTAATATGTGGAGTAATTAATTTCTCGCCATTGAAACTCTAATCTGAAAAAATCGGACATTCAAATATTAAAGAAATGTGTTAAAGTCTATAATTATCCAATATACATTTTTCTTTATATTCATAATAAACAATTAAAATTCTTTTTCCTTCCCTCTGGCGAGGGAAAATACAACTTTCCTGCCGATAGAACAAATGTAATAGGACAAAAAAATATATATATATAAATAAAATAAGAACAAAATATTTTATTTCTATTTTCCTCAACATGGAACTATCGTCGTTCAGAAACCCTAGTATAAGACCTTCAGCTCCCTGATGCACAACCACTTGGACTGGACGGTAGAGCGACGGTCTCGCTTCATGCAGATCACCGTTCAATCCCCAACCATCAAAGTGGTGTGTGACACCATTCCTTTCCGCCCGTCCCATCCCAAATCCTTATCCTGACCCCTTCCAAGTGTTATATAGTCGTAATGGCTGGGCGCTCCCCCCCCCCTCCCCCTAATAGGTCCCTTCCTTTCCCCTGGTCCAGGTATTCAACACTACCAAATCTCCATTTCCAAAAACCCAGGATATTTAACAAGTTATTTTTGTGTTTACAAGTTTAATATTTGAATTGATATATAAATATAATCCAGCATCTAGGACTAACCACACAGCTCGTCCTCTCGAATAGTACATCGAAATTTTGACATATAGTGCAAAGTGCTGCACTATTTGGAGCGGAGTCATCATATATTATAGATTTCTAATTTCCGATATCCTTAAAGAGGCGGGAGGGAAATATGTGGTTGAAGATCATTCTTTACCATTTCTCCTCAACTTTAAGCCATCAATAATGTTTATATATCACATTCAGTATTTTCTGGTGGAAGGTCATATGTTTATGGTCCACCACCAACTGAATATATATATGTTGTGTATATGAACACTATCACGTGTTTTCGTTAGAAAATGATTTGCAAGTTCCTTTCAATAAAATATACTATATCTGCTATATCCATTATATAATCAGGTTGGTACATGTCTTGCTCTCTGATGGTACACCTCATTCATAAACGGTACACGTCTCAATGATGGTATACACGTCTCATTCATAAACGGTACACGTCTCAATGATGGTATACACGTCTCATTCATAAACGGTACACGTCTCAATGATGGTATACACGTCTCATTCATAAACGGTACACGTCTCATTCAATGATAGTACATGTCACAAATTGACTGAACACGTTTCATCCAATAACGGTACAAGTCTCATCCGTGATCGGTACGACTCACCCATGAATGGTACAGTCTCATAGGAACATAAGAACATAAGAATGAAGGTAACTACATCAGACCTATTGGCCCATACGAGGCAGCTCTTATTTATAACCACCCAATTAAACGTCTCATTCAAGAACGTTAAAAGCCTCACCAAATGACCTAGCAATAATATGAAAATCAATAACACGTAACTACCAACTCATCATGATAATAACTAATGTTTTTTTTATTCATGGTAATACAATAACCGAGTCGAGGCGAAGACTGTTCAACGTTCTCTCTTGGAATATGAGATACAGTTATAATTGGTTGTAATTACAACTGACTGAAATGTGGTGGTATTGTATTGTAGGTATTAAAGCCCCAATTTTGTGTTTAACCCTTGTTACCAATTCATCTTGTCTAGAGTTTTCTAATCCTTTCACAGTCTTTCTATTCCATTTTTCTTTCATCTCCATTTCAACCATTCTTCTCAAGTACTGCAGAGTCTCTTTTTCCGTGTCAAGCTCATGCACTTGAAGCTTCCTCATACTACAGAATGACTTCCCTGACGAATTCAACAAGATGCGGATATTTCTAAAGTCTCTATAATACTGTTTAAAGTAAATAAATCACTAGCAAGTGATAGAATTAATGTGCTTATTAAGCCGTCTCAAGTGCTCTCTCTCTGGTGTCTATTTAAGAATAAAAAATTCTTAGTATTCTGTTTTATTTTTGTAAAGTCAAGTGTTACATCGACAGATTCCTGGAGGTTCTGGGTGCTCCGCGGCCTAAATTATTCCATCTTGCAGGTCATTAAAAAGGAAATGAAACGTCATGTCTAAGATGAGACTTAGCGAGGCACTCAGCGAGGCACTCAGCGGTCATGCTATCCTCTCGAATACTACAAATCATCCTCCCAACGGCCAAAAAGTGATGTACTACAAATCACAGTGGCACCGTGCGGTGTGGATGTGATATTCGCGAGAAATATCACATCAGGTTGAGGTTGGAGTGAGGTTCAGAAACCCATTCCACCACCAATATTGAGGGTGAAGGTTAAGGACAATATACATATTTTCCCTGGCAATAAACAATGACTGTATTATGAAATATTCTTACTCATTATATTTATAAATCTCAAGCATTAATGCCCACACCGCCTTACCCTCAAATACATTTAATACAGTTACGTAATAGCAGATTATCGCTAAATCATATTTATTCAATTTTCAACGCTATGTGAGAGAAAGAAATCGATAATAATATAATAATTTGGCTGTTTAATCCACTCTCTTCGATTTCCTTCTCTCTCTCTCTCTGTCTGTCTCTCTCTCTCTCTCTCTCTCTCTCAGTGACGCCTCAACGATGTCACATAACACAGCAAAATTAACCGAGACATTTCTAAGTAATCGCATTGCTTGATAGCCTCTGGCGAGAGCAACCAATCAGGTGTAAGAACGAGAGCAACACATGGGACGTCGACCAATCAGCGAGGTCGTACGGTGATAAACGTTGCGTGCTTACAATGTCGGAATTGGCAATCAGCGCTGGGCAGTTTCCGAATCGCCTTTCCATTCTGTCGCCAGATTGAAAAATTCTCGTGTGCCTCTTTAAAAAAAAAGGAGTCTAACGCGAAGATAGTGAAAAAAAAGCAATAGAAGCTTATTTCCTGTGACTTTTAATATTTGAATTGATATACAAATATAATCAAGTATCGAGAACACACAGCTCGTCCTCTCGAATAGTACATCGAAATTTTGACGTATAAATCTCCTAAGAGTAAAACTGTTGGACTAAAAATCATAGCTGCTCGCAAGACTGACGTGATGTCCCATTTTCTATTAG